CTTCTAAATTGAAAGCAATGACTCCAATTGGTAATCTGAAAAAAATTGCAATAAATATACTATTTTGCCTGTTATTAATATGTCCAGACATTTTGGACATACTGTAGTTTTTTGTTTTTTGTTTTTTTTTTTATTTTTCTGTGAGACGGAGTCTCACTCTGTTGCCCGGGCTAGAGTGCCATGGCATCAGCCTAGCTCACAGCAACCTCAAACTCCTGGGCTCAAGCAATCCTACTGCCTCAGCCTCCCGAGTAGCTGGGACTACAGGCATGCACCACTATGCCCGGCTAATTTTTTCTATGTATTTTTATTGTCCAGCTAATTTCTTTCTATTTTTTTAGTAGACACAGGGTCTCGCTCTTGCTCAGGCTGGTCTCGAACTCCTGAGCTCAAATGATCCTCCCGCCTCCATCCCCCAGAGTGCTAGGATTACAGGCGTGAGCCACCACACCTGGCGACATCCTGTAGTTTATATTAATGATTTATCCTGTATGTCCTGGACTTTTGCTCTCCATTAGTTAGAAGATAACACAGATCTCTGAAATTATATATAACAGTGCTAAGTAACATTTACTAAGTGGTATCTGCTGATAGCAGGTGTTGCCAAACCACAAAGATTGAGAATCACAGAACAGCACTGCAGCCAGTGCTGCCTGGGCCTCTACACATTGCTGGAGGACCATCTTGTCATGGATGCTCACATATGCCCCTTAATGAGCCACATTTAATATGGCTCAACAAGAATACTCTAAAACAGGTCCTAGCACAGATCCCATGGACCACCTGTAAAATAATCCTATCATGGACTGCTGCATCCCAGTTGGGCATGGGTGATGGGGGGTGCCAAATGCAGGTTCTGCACAGTGAGGTGTGCAGGCCGCCTTAAGTAAGGTGGGCAGAAAGTGCATGGTAACAAGATAAATACAAAAGAGGTTCCTAGATTGCATGTGCTCTGAGAACCCTCAGGCCCCCGCTCAGGCCTGGAGGAGAGCTGGGGTGAGTCTGGGGGAGCATGAAGAAGCCTGATGGGCCCCCGCAACCTCTTTGCAAAACAGTCCCCTTCCTAACAGATTATCATCAAGGCTGAGGGACAAGGTGCTGGGTCTGTGGCCTTCCATCCTAGGTTTAAGACTCTGAACCCAAAGGCTCAAACCTACGAAGGTGCCTACTAACACTCTCTGATGACTCCGAGATCACCTGGTTTTCTGTTCTCCATCTGCCACACTTCCTCCCTGAGCACTGGAAAGAAACAATCCCTAGCTGAAAAGAAATGTGTATCCTATTTAGGAAGGGGTGTTCCTCAAAGATGTGGCTGAGGACTTTACTCAGGAGGCATGGAGCATTCTGAGCACTGCTCAGATGATCCTGTTGGGAGACATGATCTTGCACATCCACAGGGATCTGGTCCCTAGGGGGAAGACTGCATTCCCCTGTAAATGGAGTCTATCCTTTGAAATGACATGGATCCCTCCCTTAGCAACTACGAAATGCGTATCCAAGCCAGATGGACTGTGCCACACACTGCATTTCTGCTCTTTATTTCCCAGGGAAAATCTCTATTTTTTGTAAAAGGCAAAAGATTTATATGATCTGAAGAGAAACCAGATGATGAAAATCTCTATTTTTAAAGCAACTTTATTAAGCTATAATTATACCCATATTAAGTGTACATTTGATGAGTTTTGAAAGATATATACATGTGTAACTATCATCATAATCAAGACATAGAGCATTTGCTTTATCCCCCAAAGTTCATTAGTGCCTCTTCCCAATCACATGCCCTCAACCCTTGCCACCCCCTGCCTCCACCCTCAGGCAACCACTGATCTAGTATCATAGGTTAGATTTGCATTGTCTAGAATGTCATATAAATGTAAACATGCAGTATGTAATATTTGGAGTCTGGCTTCTTCCACTTGGCATGCTTTTGAGATTTTTCCATGTGGTTACATGTTTCAGAAGTCTGTTAGTAGTATTCTGTTGTATGGATGTACCACAATTTGTTTATCCATTCACCAGTTGGTGGGTGTTTGAGTTGTTTCCAGTTTCTGGCTATTATGAATGAAGCTACTATGAACATTCATGTATAAACAAATAAAACTCTGGAATTCTGGTTTCAACAGAACAGTCTGGTGAGTGATAAACAGGCTGCCCCTCTCAGGGGAGGAGGAGTCAAGCAGTTGAGACAAGTAGAGGGACAAACATTTTTTGAAAAATGCAGCCAGAGCCGAAACTGACAAAAATGCATGTACTGAGCACGGGAGGACTGCTGACCCGGCATCTTCACTGCATGGGAAAACGGATTGCAATATCATTGGCAGGATGGAATAATATGTACCCTTAGTTGTTTTATTTTGACAGGGACTGGAATTGAGCCAAGAGACTCAAACCTATTTTCCTGGCTACTTCTTCAGGATACGTTTGAAGGCCTGTCCAGGCAGCAGAGACAAAGAGCTCTGTATCAGAGTCAGACAGACTTTACTGGCTGTGGGGCCTTGGACAGAGATAAGTCACCTTGGCAAACGGGCATGAAAAGACTGCCTACCTTAAGGGCTGCTGGGAGGATAAAATGAGAATCTACATAAAGCACTTAGCAAGGCTCTGGTGCCTAAGGATGGCTCAGTAAACATGTATTATGACTTAAAAATCATGTGACACCTTTGATTTGTAGAAAAAGAATCCAAATGTTTCATTAGAATATTTTAATGTATTTTTTCTTAATCACACCGCGAATTCTTTCTATTAATATATTATTTATATAACCACTGAAGAATTGAATTAATCAAAATCTGGTTAGATTTTTAGAAACATAGCACCTTAGTCACAAAAGCTCCAAGTGGCTGCACTTAGTCCCTCTCTCAGCAGCAGCTGTCTGGTCCGAAAGCTCCCACAGGTGCTTCTCAGACTAGATTTGCCTCAGGAGTTTGTGAGCAAATCTGATTCATGAGCACCTTCTCAGCTCTGACTCTGGGGGTGTGTGGCCTGGTGCCCGCTGAACCTCCGAGTCCTCTAAAAGGGGCTGGGTGGTGGAGTGGAAGGAGCATGGGCTGGAAGGGGAGGACTTGGGTTTGAATTCTGACTTTATTGTCCCTCTCCCTCCCCCACTTTGTTTCTGTCTTTATGGTCCGAGCTTGCTTTCCTCATCTCTGCTGTGGGGTAACAGCATTACCTCAGGAGGCTGCAGCAGGATTACACAATATTATTAATACAGTGCCAGGACTGTTTCAACAAATGCTTGTTGACGCTGTTAATTTCACGCGCTATCTTACCCTCTTTCCTATTTCCCATCTCCAAAGTCCACCGGCTGCATGTAACCCAAATGAAATGGAGCTACTTTAAAGAGTAATTGGGAAATCTCCCAGCAGATAGTCGACATTGTTCTGAATGTTCCCCTTCCAGGAAAGGTGGGACTCTTTTATGTCTTACCAGGGCTCCAGCTAGCACCTGGGTTTTGAGTGTGAACGTTAAGTCCTAAGGCATTGTAGCCGCAGGTTTGGGCCTAGTTTCTGTGGAGTCGGTTACCTGGAATGCGCTCCCGTCCCCCAGGAGCCCAGCTGTGCCCGCCGCGCCCGCTCCCGCCTTTCCCAGGCCCGCCTCCTGCTCCTCCTGCCCACCCCTTGGCCCCTCACCTACCCTTTCGTGCGCCCGCAAACCCTGCGCGCCGCCGCGCCCATTGGCGGGTTCGCTTTTATTGATTTGTTCTGAGCTCTCCCCTGGCTTCCGGCGCGGACACCAGGTGCGAGCCGTTTTGCTCTAGGCGATGTAAGAAGCGTGGGTTGCCCGCTTCCCGGCACCCGTGCGGGTCGTTAGCGGCCGGCCCAAGGGCTCTCGCCCGTGGGCCGTGGGCGGCGTGGACAGAGCCCCGCGCGCTCCCGGGCCCGAAGGAGGGTGTGCGAAGGCGGTAGCCCCTGCATCTTCGCGGCTGCCGTCGCGCGCCCCTCCCTACTCACGCTCCTGAGGAGCCTCCGGGGCGAGCCCAGAGTCGCGGCGTGGGTTCGCGGGGGACCCGCGGGCGTTTGAACGCTCGCGCGCTTCGCCCATTGGAGGTCGGGTGAAGGCGGGGCCGAGGTGCAACCTCCGAGTTTTCTTTGTTTGGGGTTTGCAAGTACTGTATGTTGGCTTCTTAACGTTCTCGAGGAGAAGGCTGCTAGTACCGCTTTTTCTCGTACTCCTCTACTCCTTCAAAAAGAAAGGGCGGTGTTTCAGAAAAAAATTCCGCCTTAAGACACTTTAGTGTGTTTAGTACTCTGTGGTCACGCCTAGCTGTTTTGCAATTGCATCTTGAGGAAGGAGGTAAAAAGCAAAAGCTAGAGAGAACTGGGAGTTGTTTGTTTTGCATATGTGATTCCTTGGACCTTTCAAATTTTCCTCAAAAAAAAAAAAGATTGTAGTTAAAGGAAATGTTATTCTAAGTAGTGCCCCAGAAACTTACGTGTTTAAGAGAAATTTAAAACTTAAGACTAGAGTTTATTTTGTTGGAATGAATGTAATAAAGACACAATTTCTCATTTTCATTTAGAAACTGGTCTATTATTTTGGCTTGTAGTTCTGCACTATGCTACTAAAGGGGAAACACCAGATTCTCAAATATTCCCATCCCCTTTTCTTTTTCAGTCCAGAGCACAACTACCAGATGAGAACAGAAGGAAGCCAGTTTTGGGGAAACTTGGCACTCTATTCGCGACAGGAAGGAGAAGGAACACCAGGACCGGTCTAGAGAGTCCCATCAGCTCAAATGCCAAATCAGTCTCTCCCAAAGATGTAACCTCTTCTAAACTCCCTGAAAGAGAGAATGAGAAGAGTAAATCTCAGAGCAGCCAACCAAAGCAAACGGACAGGAGCGAGGAGGGCTCCCCACAAGAGAGACCCCAAGAGGCAGAAGGCGAGCACTCGGAGAACTGCGTCCAGGCGTTGCCCCCTGAGGCTGAGCTGTCACCTTGTTCTAGCAGCAGTGCAGCGGCTGCGGCTGTGCAGCAGTGCCATGAAAGTGATTCACCCCAATTAGAACCTCTGGAGGCAGAGGGAGAGACTTTCCCAGATGCCACCACCGCTGCCAAGCAGCTGCATTCCTCGCCAGGGAATTCCTCCAGGCAAGAGGACTTAGAGACACCCGCCCGCAGTCTGGGGGAGGACGCTTTGCTGGGCTCTGGCCGCGAACAGGAGACTTCCCGGGGTGCGAGAGGTGTGCCGGGGTCGCCCACCCAGGAGCGGCCGGCAGGAGGACTAAGCGAGGCCCCTGACGGAGTCCCCAGCCTGTGTGCCGAAGGAGGCTCTCCGGGGCCCCTAGACGCGCGCAGCCAGCCCCCCGAGGACGCATCTGCTCCGACAGGTGACTCTGCAGCCGAGGGCGCGGAGAATAGGGGCGGCACGGGGCAGGCCAACGGCACAGCCCGGCCCGAAAAGCGCGATTCCCAGCCGGGCGACCGCGCTCATCCCGCCAAAGTGTTGACTCTGGACATCTACTTGAGTAAGACTGAAGTGGAGCAGGTGGACGAGCCGGTCGTGATTACTGCCAGGGCAGAAGATTGCGGCGACTGGGACGACATGGAGAAGAGGTCGAGCGGTCGCAGGTCGGGGAGGCGGAGGAAGTCGCAGAAATCCACCGACTCCCCCGGTGCAGACGCCGAGCTACCCGAGAGCACGGCGAGGGACGACGCGGTGTTCGACGACGAGGTGGCGCCAAACCCGGCCACCGACAGCGTCTCCGGCGAAAAGAAAGTGAAATCTCCGCGGGCGGCCTCCGACGGGGGCGTTGCCTGCGCCGCGAGCGCGGAGTCCAAACCCAGCCCCGGCCCCAGAGGGCAGCTCCGAGGGGAGTCGGAGCGGAGCAAACAGCCGCTCCCGACCTCGTCCCCCACCAAGCGGAAGGGCAGGAGCCGCGCCCCCGAGGCCGTGCCCTCCCCGCCCGCCGGCGGCCTGCGGGCTCCGGGCAGGGAGTCCCAAGGCACCAAGGGCGCGGCGGCCGAGAGCGGGGAGGAGGCTCGGGTCGCCCCCCGCGAGCTCACAGTCCGGAGCAGCTCGCTGCTGCCGGAGATCAAGCCCGAGCACAAGCGGGGCCCGCTGCCCAACCACTTCGACGGCCGGGCGGAGGGAGGTCGAAGCAAAGAGCTGGGCAGATCGGCAGGAGCCTCTGGAGCTGCTGACGCCGACGGCTGGAAGCCCAGGAACCATTTCGGTGCGGGCAGGTCGACGGTGACTACCAAAGTGACCCTGTAAGTAGCTGCGGAAGACGTGCTGGGGGGCCGCTCTGAGAGCCTCGGGGTCTTCCCATTTGTGGAAGAAATGACTGTGCAAGAATTTCCCCCATGTGTTGAACTAGTGAAGGGCCAGTTTACACAGTTAACAGTTACACATGTGGCCGCCTCCTCGGTTAATTCATGTTTTAATATATGATTTAAGTAAAAATAGGATATCCCTTGAGGCCCAGTGTTTACGTATAGAAAAAAGACTTCATGGCTTGTTATGAGTTTATTCTGTTTTTCAGAATTGTACGTGTGTGTTCCAGAGTAGGACGTCCTTAAAACACACATGCAGTGAATTTCAAAACTTGGAGCAAACCCTGATACATACGTATGTTCTGTATGACCCAGTAGCTTTGACATGTGTGAGTTTAAGAGAATTCACAGAACCTTTTATGGAACTTAGTGCATTATTGGCCTAAAGTTGAAAAAAAAAAACAAACCAAAATACAAGTATCTTGGTTGCTTCTTCCCCTTTATAATGTTAGGGAATCTGGTGATATTTTTGCTTCCAGGTTGAAAAGTAGTTTCAAGTTACTGAAATGGAGAAAGATCAGTGTTCTTACTGGAAGATTATTTGCTAAGTGATAGGACATAAAACAACAGACTGTGACTACTTACTGTTAAGTTTATTGATTTTACAAATATTTATTGAGTACCTTCTCTACGTGGTATTGTGCTGGGTACTATGGCGGGGGGAAGAAGACTACAACTATGATTCAACTATTGCCCTTGAAAATTTTATGGTCCCTTCTGGCACATAAGGAACACACAAATCAAATAACAATATGAGGTGTGATATCTGATTAAACTGCCAAATGGATGTTACCATCTGTAAAGGCTGGGGAAGTGGAAGAGAGGAAGAATCACTGTACCCTGATGATAAATGTCATTTGTGTAGGTGGACAGGACAGGGAGGGCGCTCTATAAAACTGTTGACGGCACTCCTGCTCCCCATTCACCAATTAGCACAGGTGAAAATGATTAAACTCTTACCGTTTTTCCTGCATTCACACATGTGAATTTAACAAATGTTAATAGATCTGGTATTTTCACAATATTATCATTCTTGAACTAAATGGTTTCTTCTATTTGATTTCTTGGATAGTAAGCTTCAGAGTAGGAGGTCTGTTTGGTAAACACTTGAGAGGAAAATGTGCTTAATGAATAACTTGAACTACCTCAACAGCTGCCAACCCAGAAACCTTTGATAGAGTCAGCTATTTATTCTGCCATGGTAGCATTGTAGAAATAACCTGAGTGTATGATGCCCATTATTTGTAGAAGACCAGTGTGATTGAACACTGAAACCTCCTAAGTGTGAGCCTTAGAGAAACGTTGCTGTGTACCTAACTAAGGACGCTTCACCTGTTTCCAATCAGAAGACACCAGTAGAAAAACCAGAAACCTGTTAAGGAGTAGGGTAAACAGGGAAGATGATCTTACCGTGAAACGCTGTTTCCTGTAGTAGAACTAAATGAAATGTTTCTTTTTCAATTCTGACTATTTTCTACCTAAAAATCTTCTTTACCACTCAGTTTATTTAATTTTGTTTTGCACAGTGCCTTACACATGGTGAACTGGCAAATTATTGAAATGGAAAATTAATAATTCTTTCTAGTCCTTTGACCTATTTCTGATGGGTTTTTTCAGACCCTTTAATTCTTCCTATGACTATATTGCAAGTAAAAATGTTAATCAGATTATTTTTTAAAACAATTTGAGACAGAAGAGTTACAAAGCTATTTCATATTTCCTGAAAGACAGTGATTGTGAAGCAGCATGTTTCTTTATGCAAACTGTTAGAAAAATTATTCCTTCAGGTTCTCTACCAAGTGCTGAATGTTGAAATTCTTAAAATGGTACATTTAGAATAAGGAGAATTTCCCTCTTATAACTATAGCTTTTTAGACTCCAGATTATTTTCCCCTGTTTCATTATAATGAAGGCATTACAACATGAATTATAGGAGCCTTCCTTTTAATCAGTCTAAACTAGGTTAATTGTAGTGACTCTTGGTAGCAGAACTTAATAGCACAGAAAGTTTGGTTGTAAAATGTATTTTGATCTTGGTGTAAATCTTTCATGTGCAGATATGTGTTTCCTGCCCTTAAGGTAGCTTGTTGGCTAACCTGTACCATTTTTCATTTACATCATAAGATACACTTTGATGTTTGAATTGAATAGTTCTTGAGCTGATTAGTGAGAATTTTTAAAAAGTATATTCTCTGATATGAGACCATCTCTCATTAACTGATAGTATATGTAAGCTCTTTATCTAATCATCTCACTGATTTTATACTTTAATCTTTAAGGAAATGCTTATAAGTTCAACATGCTTTCAAATTTAAGATATGGGCCTCTGTAATAAGGGAGGCTAGGTATCTTATGGAGATATTGGGGAAAGCAATGCCTGGGAGAAATTTATGAGCATAGATTGAATTTAGTATTTACATAAAATTTAAGAAGATGAATATAGGCCAGGTGAGGTGGCTCACACCTGTAATCCTAGCACTCTGGGAGTCTGAGGCTGGAGGATTGCTTGAGGCCAGGAGTTTGAGACCAGCCTGAGCAAGAGCGAAACCCGGTCTCTACAAAAAAATGGAAAAATTAGCTGGGCACAGTGGTGTACTCCTATAGTCCTAACTACTCAGGAGGCTGAGACAAGAGGATTGCTTGGGCCTAGGAGTGTGAGGTTGCAGTGAGCTATGATTGTGCCACTGCATTCTAGCCGGGGCAACAGAGTGAGATCCTGTCTTAAAAAAAGAAAAAAAAAGATACGAATTCTCAGTGCTGCTTTTGGAGAGACTTGATGATAACTAGCCCAGTCTTCCCATTTTAACCAGAAAGTATCTTACCTGAAGTCATACTGCTTGTCCCTTCCAGAAGCTCATCAGGCCTAGCCTCCTTGAAGGCCGAGTCCATGCGGGAGACAGCATCAGATTTCAGCGCTTCTCTACTTTTGTGTTCTTATTATCAAGGTGGACTCTAAAGTCTGATTACTTTCTTATAGAACTCATGATAATTCGTTGACTCTTTAAATGATAAAGATGGAAAGAACCAGAGGAGCTTATTCAGGCGAGTCTAGTCTGGCCCCATCTGGGAAAGCAGAATAGTGTAGTGGTCAGGAGCATGGCACCTGAAACCAGAGTACCTGGCTTCAAATTGTGGCCTGTCACTCACTGGCTGTGTGGCCTCAGGCAAGTTACTTCTCTAAGCCTCAACTTCCTCATCTTAAAATAGAACGTATAAAGTTGTGTGTTAGGTAAGCCATAGGAGGCATTGCTCAAATGCTTGGCAGTCAGTGGCTGTTGGTGGTTATTATTTATCTCTCCCATTTTATAAACTACTAGACCAGTGGTTTAGATTTTTTTTTTTTTTTTAAGCTTTGGAAGCCTTTCTTCTGGCCAAGCTTATATAGAAGCAATATATAACGCAGATAAGTAGGAGTGATTCTGGTTGAAAGGAGGGTGCACAGCCCGATCCTTTAGTCCCCACTATCCCCAACCGCAGCCCTTGAAGAGAACACCAAGGATTCCTTTGACCATAATTTGGGGCCAGGTGGGGGGGGTGGATAAAAATAACTCAGTTCTAAACCATATAGTTTTTTCATAGATAGAGAAGGTAGAGTCCAGAAAGGGAAAGTAACTTACCAAGTTCACACAGATAATTCACATGAAAGCCAGAACCAGAGCCAGAGAGTGCCAAACAGAGCACATTTTGTTGCTCTGAAAGAAAGCACTGTGTACATTCAAAGACTTATTATTTCCATCAGGGGGTAATTATACCCAAGAGATGTGACACAGAGAGGAGACTCTCTTTGCCCAAGAAGTGGTGACAAAACCAACAATTAATTGATAAGTAAATTATGGTACAAACCTGATGGACTTTTATGCAGCTTTAAGAAAACTTTTCAAACAATTTTTTTAGTATCCTGAAAAATGTTACCTACAAGGTTAAATCATCTTATTGCTTAAAAAAAGGTAAGACACCAAACTCTATGAACAGAATAATCTATGATCTGTTACAAATATTTAATTATGTGTGTAAGACTGGAAATGTACTAAAATTTTAACAAGGATATTCTCCGGTAGGATTATGAGGTTTTGTTTGATATTTTCCAAATTTTCTACAGCAAACACACTAATATAATCAGAGAAAAATCTTATGGGGGAAGGATGAAAGGAATAAAGTATCCAAAGAGGTCAATAATAGATGGGTATTTTTTATAATCTAGGCTTTTGAGATAATGTAAAAAAAGTTATGATAAAATTAAAATACATAATATTGGGGAAATTATTTACATATTTAAATTATGGGAATGCATTAAATATTTAAATATGTTCTAATGTTCTTCAGGCCCTGAAATGTCTTCCAACTTTTATGCCAAGCACTGTGCATACATATTAGGTGCTCAATAAACTTGTTAATGCCTCATCCCTAGAATTACTTAGCTATATAATCTTGTCATCCCTCATACAAGCAAAATATCTATTAAAAATGGTTGATAGCATACTTAGGATTGTTTAAAAATAGTTTCATTAAAAAACAAATATGTACGAGGAAGATGTTTTGTAATAAATTGGTTTGTGTGCCCCACTTTTTAAAACTAGGTCAATAACTTTATCTTACTGCTTTTTTCTCATAGCCCTGCCAAGCCCAAACATGTGGAACTAAATCTTAAAACCCCTAAGAATCCTGACAGCTTGGGAAGTGAACATAATCCATTTAGCCAGCCAGTTCATAAAGGAAACACTGCCACTAAAATCTCCTTATTTGAAAACAAACGGGCAAATAATAGCCCAAGACACACTGACATTCGAGGCACAAGGAACACGCCTGCCGCTAATAAAACATTTGTTGGAAGGGCAAAGCTGAATTTAGCTAAAAAAGCCAAAGAGATGGAGCAACCTGAGAAGAAAGTAATGCCAAACAGTCACCAGAACAGTGTGCTGGTGAAGGAAACCTCTGCAGAAGCCAAAGTTCCTCTCGCTGAAGAAGAGATTCTGCCAGCAACCGGAGGAATGAAAGCAGTGCCTGCTGAGGATCAAGCTCTTGGTTCTCAGCCTAACCAAGGTGATAAAGCAGATGTGCAAACAGATGCTGGCTGTCCTTCAGAACCAGTGGCTACTGCTCTGATTCCTGTCAAGGACCATGAGCTCTTAAGAGAGGATGACTCAAAGACTGCTGACAGCAAAAGACGTGTTCTTGAAAATATGACTGATATAGCACAAGATGTCTCCACCATCGTTAATACCAAAGATTTACCTCCAACAGCCTTACCAAAGCCACAGGATGAATTTTCTGACTCACAGCCCCCAGCGGAGTCATCTAATGGGCCTTCTCTCTCGCTGTCCACACCCATTCCTGTGGATGTTCCCAAAGACTCCTGTGTTCAGTCTCGCATAAGCAATCTTCCATGCACTGATCTAAAAGTGTCAGAAAACCGTGAAGGATGTATTTTGCCTGTGTCTCATCAGAGTAATGAGAAAATGCCACTCTCCAAACCTGGAGGAGAAACAAGCCTGCCTTTGTCCGCAGAGCCCAGTCCGGAGGCTGTGGGAAGTGAGTGTCCATCCAAGGTCCTAGTCCAGGTCAGGTCTTTCGTGCTCCCCGTGGAGAGCACCCAGGACGTGAGCTCCCACATCATCTCAGATAGCTCTGAAGTTAGAGAAATGCAGTTGCCAAGTTGTCACAATAATGAACTTGAGGTGGTTTCCGTTGCAAGTTGTGCTCCCCAGCAAGAGGAAGTAGTGGGCCATAAGAGCACATCACCCAAACACACTCATTGCCAAGCAGAACATGTGGCCAAATCTGCCCTGCAAGTCATGCCGTCAGAATCAGAGAGAACTCTGCCCATTCAGGCGCAAAGTCAGGGCAACAAAACACCCCTGGCGTCTGAATCCAGTCCTGCCAACTCTCCCAACAGCAGAAATCATTTAGAAACTGCTCAAAAGTCAGATCAGAATGTTGTGAATGGCCAAGGTAGCCCTGCCAGTCTTTTGAATGTTTCTGCTGATAGTGATGATAGTGTATTCGATTCTTCTTCTGATATGGAAAAATTCACTGAAATTATAAAAAAGATGGATAGCGCAGTTTGTGTGCCCCAGAAGAAAAAGAAGGCCAGGGTGCCCAACTCTCCCGCCCCTCACTTTGCCATGCCTCCGATTCATGAAGACAATTTAGAAAAGGTGTTTGATCCCAACGTGTTTACCTTTGGTTTGGGGAAGAAGAAGGAAAGCCAATCAGAAATGTCACCGGCTTTACATTTGATACAGAACCTTGACACAAAATCCAAACTGAGACCCAAACGTGCATCTACCGAACAGAGTATTCTCTTCAAGTCCTTGCACACTAACCCTAATGGGAAAAATGAAACTGTGGTGACTCCAGAAATAAATGACAAAGAGAACAGGGACATCACAAATGGTGGAGTTAAGAGATCGAGGCTAGAAAAAAGTGCGCTTTTTTCAAGCTTGTTGTCTTCCCTGCCACAAGACAAAATCTTTTCTCCCTCTGTGACATCAGTCAATACTATGACCACAACTTTCAGCACTTCTCAGAACGGTTCCCTATCTCAGTCTTCAGTGCCACAGCCTATGGCTGAGGGTGCCCCGCCCTGCGGTTCGAACAAACAACAGCCAAATCTTCCACCCAACAACTCCTTGAAGGTCTTCAACTTCGACTCATCAAATACGTCTCATTCAGGTTTGAAAAGTCCAAGCCACATGGAAAAATCCCTGCAAAAAGAGGAAACCAAAGAAGATCTAGATTCACGAAGCAGCCTACTCTTGCCAGAAACTAAATTTTCTGAATTTTCAAAGCTGAAGAATAATGACAATATGGAAAAGGCTAATCATATTGAAAGTGTTTTAAAATCAAACTTGCCAAACTATGGAAATAGCGACACCGACTTCGTGGGTCTTTTCAAATCAAGCCGGTTTGACCCAAGCATTTCTTTTTCTGGAATGTCATTATCAGATACAATGGTAAGTAACTGCATATGATCATTTATTTGGGGTATTTATAAAGCAAGGGGAGGGTTGAGGAGTAACTCATGTTATTCGTTTAGAAATGGCTATGCATATGTACAATAGTCTTCTATTTAGTCATCACATATTTGAAAACCTGCTATGTACAAGGGTCCTGTGAGGGGCCAGGCAAAAAGGTATTAAGATTCTTCTCTCAAGGCATTTGTAGTCTAGCAGGGAGATTAAGCTACAAATATTTTAAGGCACCTGTGAATTTGTATGTTGTATTATGAAAGGTATAGATAAGGTGCTTTGAGAGTTCAGAGACAGACAAGATACTTTTTCTTCTGTATAAAAATGTTCAATACCATCCTTGGAATTTTGAAGATTTATGAAGTAGCCTCCTCTATTTGGAAAGGAAACTTTCCTAATCCTTTTTCTCACACTGTGAGATTCACTTTCTTCCCCTAAGTAGCAATATGCATTTATCCCATGCAATTGAAAAGGTATTTTCTCTTTGTTGGGAAATAATTTTTTTTCCTGCAAAGTTGTGGGAAGTAAAGAATTTTGGTTTCTGTTGCATCTTTCCTTTAATATAATAGAACAACAAAATATGATTTTGAGAAACAATTTTGATTTCTGCATCTTCTTTTATTTGACTGCCAGAAGTTATTTTCTTTACTCAGTTTTTGGTGTGAACTAATGTCTTTTTGTTACCAAGTTTAATACTCAACACTGAAGAAGGACAGTGAAAGAGGAAGGCAGAATATAAGATTTAGAGATCAGTTCTGCCAGTCTGGACACCTGAGCTCATATTCTGGTGGCCACCCTGTGAACCAGCCTATCTGGCAAGTGTGGACGGTGATTCAGCACAGTTTATCTAGGCAGAAAATACTCTGCACCCTTCCTCATCTCTACGTGGGACTGCAGCATGTTTCAGTGTATTGAGGGGCCTTTGCTGCAATCCTGTCATAGAATGTGATTTTGGAAGCTCTTTCAAAATATATAGTTGGGTTTCCAGCAGAGGCACAGATACCTTTTTCATGTGATTTCATAAACCAGTGGGTTTCAAACGTTTTGGTCTTGGGACCCTTTTACATTGAAAAGTTATTGAGAACTCCAAAGAGCTTTTGTTTATATGGGATATGCCTATCAGAATTTACTATATTAGAAATTAACACTGAGAAAATTGTAAAACACCAGAACACACAAGTGCACGTTCCGTCAGCCATCAGAGCAACGATGTCATCACATGTCATGGAGCCTTACTCCACTGGACACTTGTGAGAGGAGATGGGAAAAGCAAATAAGCTCTCCTTATTATAAAAATAGTTTTCACCTCCCTCATGGACTCCCTGAAAGGATCTTGGGGAACTCCCAGGTGCCTCTGGAGCATACTTTGACGACCACTTCTGTAAGCAAGTAAGACTGAATCAGCCTATAGTACTCAGAAATCATGGAATTCCTAACTATTTCTCTCAAGCACAAAATTTGCTCTAGTCTACTTCCCATTCATTACGGCTTTGTTCTTTTTAATTATTCTTAGATCATTTCTCTTATTTGACTACAGTCTGACAGAGTCTGACAACAGAATGTACAGAGTTTCACTATGAAAACCAAGTTGAATGGTGTAAAAAGGAGAAACAGTATGCTTTATACTTTTTCTAGGCCTTTTTATGATTTAAAAAAATTTTTTCTGTCTTTCAGTTCTGGGCTTTGAGTTTTGTTTTAAATTTTAGGCCTTTTCTTCAGTTTTTCTATTTCTCATGTGCATATATAAAAAAGTACATGCCATTTTGGTCTCATAATGCTCTAGTGGAACCTTATGGGCTTGTGAGCATCTTATGCTATGATATGATGCAAGAGCCATAGATCAAAAGCAGTTCTTAGAATAGACATCCAGGTCAGCATTGAAAGTTGTCCATGTTTAGTAATATTTTTACATGTATAATTACTTTTATTATCTTATGCATTTCTAGTTTTACTGGTCTTGTCAGATGGTCTTGAAAATGATTAATTTTTGGAGCCATATAAAAATGTATTTGTCTATCAAAAAAAGGATTAAATATACCATATGGAATGTACATTGTGAAATATACCATAAACACTTTTATTTAGACTAGTAGTTATTTGATGGTAGAGGTTACTATGAAAAAACATTTATAGATTCAGGAAGGGTGTGTATATGAATACATAAAATTGATTCAACTCTTTCTAGGTAAATAATACATTCTAATTTCTCTTTGAGATTATACTGAGATTATTTGAATTATAATCTTAGATGGGTTTTTATTATGCGAACTGACATAAAACATAGGTTTGACTTTTGAGCCCTGAATTTTCTAGCATTGGTGAAAATATCCTAGACATTTAAGTGAAGAGAAATTGAAATGGCAAATTCAGTTAGAGGGGAAAAAGCTCTTAATTTAGAAGCATAAACTCAAAGAATTTCAACAACTTTAGTATAGATTAAGGTGGACATGTTTCAAAATTGATGAATTGTGAGATTAAATATGATCTACTTAAAGGATCATGGTGGAGAAAAGACTGTTATGGAAAGTTGTAATTATTTGCTGTGTTCTTGTTCATCTGATTACAGACTTTTAGAGGAAATGTACAAAATAAACTCAATCCCCGACCTGGAAAGGTAAGATTATTTTCTATTTCTAGTCTCTATTTTATTTTGGTCTCATAGAGTACAACAAAGTGTGCTACCCCTTTCATTTTCTCGTAGGTAGTGATATACAGTGAACCCGATGTCTCTGAGGAGTGCATTGAAGTTTTCAGTGACATTCAGGATTGCAGTTCTTGGAGCCTCTCTCCAGTGATACTCATAAAAGTTGTAAGAGGATGGTAAGAATGGCACTTTAAGTTCCTGCCTTACAGTGTTTGTGTTTTACATTCTTAATTACCTATTTGGTCCTCACTTTATTTAAAATTATGCCTTTAGCAATGTAAAGTGCAGAAAATACTACTTATAGTAAAATAAGGAATTCATGTCTAAAAAATATAGTTTTTAATCATGTTTCTGATTGTTGGAGTGATACATGTTTATGGGAGAAAAGTTGGGAAAGTGCAGCAAAACGAGCTTCTTTTTCCCACATATCCCCACATAACATTGCTTTGGACTAGTCCTACATCTGGGTCATAATATACTTTGGTTAATGAGTTTTAAATGAGATTGATAAGAATTGCACTAGTCATGTTGCTAGGCCTGATGTGACTTTTTAAAAATCTATAAGGAAAAACATTTTTGCTTACGTTTTTGTGGCAGTTCAGTGAAGGACTAACCTAAAATTTACTTTCCAATTTTTCAACAAAAGATGGTTTTGATAAACTGGTGAAAATATAAATACTTTGACAGTTTTTAAGATTGTTTACCAGCTTAATTGCCTCTTGAAAATGCACAGGAAGTTGAATAAAGAAAGGGCAAGTTAAAAAAAAAAACTAATCTGGCATAATACTTATCTTCGGTATCTATTTATAAACTTGTTTGAAATCAAGAAGGTAGCATTCTAGACATTTATGGTTTAAAAAATTAGTTTTTATTTTGGTTTCCATTTAAATAAAAATGTAGCATCTTTCCTATTAGATTTATAAATATTTTAATATATTTTTCTGTATGTTCAACATAGTCATTAGAAAAACAGAGTTTACTTTTATTCTGTAATTTGAAGACTGAGGATTAAACTAAAAACAAATTTTGTGTGACAATTTTAATAGAACAGTGCTTTTTCTGTTCTTTTGCAATTTTTGTTGGCTTTTTCTTGAAACCCTAAGCACTTATTACTATCATATGTTGGCATGAGGTTCTTCTTTAGCATTTGGCTGTTATTAGGAAGAATATTTTAAAAAATGCTTCCCATTAACATGCCGATAGTCCTTTGTATCAACATATCTGTTGATATGGCTGTGATATGTAAGTGAAAATCCCTCTAAGAGAAATGTTATTTTATTACATAGGGAGGAAAAAAAAAAAAACACCCCACTACAGTAAACACCCATTTATCTGACTTATTATTTATAAGTCTCCACTAACTGGCAATTCCTTAGAACTGTGGTCCCCCACCCCTGGGCCGTGGACCTGACCCAGTCCATGGCCTGTTAGGAACTGGGCCACACAGCAGGAGGTAAGCAGCAGGTGGGCCAGTGAAGCTTCATCTGTATTTACAGCCACTCCCCATCGCTCGCATCACTGCATAAGCTCCAACTCCTGTCAGATCAGTGGTGGCATTAGATTGTCATAGGAGCACAAACCCTGCTGTAAACTGCACGTGCGAGGGATCTGGGTTGTGTGCTCCTTATGAGAATCTAATGCCTGATGATCTGAGGTGGAGCTGAGGTGGTGATGCTAGCTCTGGGGAGCAGCTGCAAATATGGATTATCATTAGCAGAGAGGTTTGACTGCACAGTAAATGCAATGCACTTGACTCATCCTGAAACCATCCCCCACCCCGCTGCCCCGTCCATGGAAAAATTGTCTACCATGAAACATCCCTGGTGCCAAAAAGGTTGGGGACTACTGCCTTAGAACATTAGTAGCTGCGTAACATTTATATTGATAACCCAAAAGTTCTCTGAGATCCTGATACAGTTCTTGAATTATCAGAGGCTTAATTATACTCAGTAAAGTTTTAGTGTTAGGGAGAGTTTATGCTATTTTAATTGCTAGAGCGTTGGTCACTAATATATACATATATAGGGGCAATTAGCCAGAATTTTTGAGTAATCACAACTTCTGTCACCAAGAGTGGCTAATTGGTTTTTCTGTGTTTTATTCTTAGTTGGATTTTGTATGAGAAGCCAAATTTTGAAGGGCACTCTATCCCCTTGGAAGAAGGAGAACTGGAACTCTCTGGTCTCTGGGGTATAGAAGAAATTTTGGAAAAGAATTGGGAAGGAGAGTCTGATAAGCCTGTGGTGATTGGTTCAATCAGACTCATGGTCCAGGTAGGTTGTGTTAAATCTGGGTTTCACTTATTCATTCAGCAAATATCTATTCATTCTTACTCTAAGGGGAATGTTCATTTTATGAAATAAGTGAGAAAAATATTTGGTGCTTTATGGATATATTTCTGTGATTTAAGTATTTTTGTTCACTGTAAAGAATTAGAAACACTTAATTGGTTAGATATTTTTCACAATAAATCCTTAAGGTAAATCTTTCACTCATGGCCTCCTATTCCCATCGCCCAAATACATTTTACTTAGTAACCTGGTGCTGATGAGTTCCATATGAACAGATTTTTCTTTTACTTAGTTTTTTTGGTTGCTTCATGAGTTCTGATTAACCTTGAGTGGTTTATAGGCATTCTATTTTAGAAAAATAAATAATCTAAAAATAATTTAGTTGTCCAGCTGTGGAGTTTCATGTGAGGGTAGAAAATATTATTTGATATATTTGAGGCCACTTTATGGGTTGGGTAAAATTTGTTGGTTTCTTGTTTTAGTGATGAGAAAGTTGTTATCATAGTGTCTTTGTGGCTCTTGGGATTTGATGATTTGGGATTTATGTTTTAAAAATGTAAGTAATGATGTCTTCCAAGTAGAAAATGAAAATTCCAAGTTTTAATAGAGATGAGTGTCAAAGTGCAATAAAGAGAAAAGGAAGGTTCTAAAATGAGATTGAGTGAGAATGAGTAATAGTTTTTGGCAGAGGAAAGAGTTACCTCTTTCCTAGGTCAACATTTTTGAGTGACTTAGATGATAATTGGTATTCTAAATGATTTATATTTTAATGGCTTTGAGTACATAATGTGATAAGCCTAAGTAAGACAGGACAAGCCCTACTTCAAAATGTCCTAATTAATGGAATATTTTACGCAGAGTTTTCATTTCTTGCTCAAATAATATTGGTAATAAAGCAATTTTTAAAAATATCATCTGAATCTCACCATTGTGAAGTGTCCTCTCTTCATTTTTTGAATTCTCAACCCCTTGTTGGCCATATTCTAATATTTTTTTTCTCTAGTTGTAAGACAATATTCTACTTTTTTTTTTTTTTTTTTTTACTTAACACTGTGGTTCACAATCCTTTTCTTTTTTCTCTCTATTCCATTTCCCTAAAGATCACACTCCATTGGTAACATCTCTCCAGGATTTGCACCTGGGGGGAGATACCAGAATCAGGTGGGGTGAGGATCTGGGTACATTCAGGAAGGTGGGATAAGGGAAATGTTATCTCTTGTTTCTCCTGATCGTAGCAGACTTAATGTAGCAAATGCTTTTCCTGTTACTGCATAGTTTGGGTTTTGGCTGAGCCTCATATTCCATTGAAATAATGTGCTGTCATTGAGTACATAAATGAGGTACCGTCATTTATTATTTCTTCTTTCAGTTGATCTTAAGGTTGTTTCTAGTTTTTTACTATTTCAAATAATGCTTTGTGAACATTTTTATACATTTAATAGTTTATAATTTTATGATTCATTTCCTTGGATTAAATTTTTCTGAATAACGTCACATTAAAGGGTATGGTTTATGGCTCCTGATATATCATGAATTATATTTTATTTACTGATGGTGTGCATGGTTTCTTAAAAGATGAAACATAAGTCAAAACATATTAATATATTCGAGAGGGTCACCTTTTCAGTTCATTTGAGTTGCTCCTTTTGGTCATGTTTGAAAGAGCCTCGCCTGAACTACCCTAAGTGTTAATATTTCTTCTACACCTTAGTTCACCCAGTGTAGAAGAGGTTTAGTAAATATTTGATTAATGCTTAGGCATTCAGCCAGGAGAGGCCTTCTGAAGACTGTTTGATGGGCCATGGATATGTAGGACATGGAACAGTGACCAAAGTACAGAGATTTGAGAATCAGCATGAATGTGTGCTTTTGCCTTTATGACTTAGACCAAACCAACATCATAGAGAAATGTTTACTCAGAGCCAAGGAGAATTACAACAGAGAGTATATAGACACAAAACAATAGTTGAGGAAGACTACAAGTGCAGCCGTTCTGCAGACTAGTCGGGACTTGGATAGTTATATCAGAGCAAAGGAACCAAAACCCCTAAGGCCAAGTGAGAAGACAATAAAGAAATTCATTCCACAACTCTAATAAAATACATTTCTGATGATCTTTGCTTGAATGTTAACACTGAGATATATGACTGAAGCAGTGTCTGCCCTGAAAGAGGCATATTATTAATTCATGGATGAAAACAGAAAGGGATAAAATGGCAGGAGCTCTGTGAAATGTATATCTAAAGCTTCTTTTAAATAGTTACAAGAAAAAGAATAACGAGCTTACCCCATAGAGTTGAATACTTGGTATAATTATTATTATATACGTGTGTGTGTATATTGTTTTAGGATTACAGAATTAGTCAAATCGACTTATTTACTGAACCAGAAGGGTTAGGACTCCTAAATTCCTACTTTGATGATACTGAAGAAATACAGGGATTTGGTGTAATGCAGAAGACTTGTTCCATTAAAGTACATCAGGGCACGTAAGTATTTTATTTCAAATACAATTTTAATGACGCTTTCTTGTGAGTGTAGTACTGGAAAGAGAGGACTTAAGATATTTTGCCTCTGATTTTTTGTCCTCTTAAGTAATTATTGACTACAAGGTATATTTTTATAAGGCACATAAAATTTTGATTCTCTTGCACCTATGTTACTATGATTCATGTCTCTTATAAACAACAACAATTTATGAGAGGAAGTATAGGAAAAAAGTTACATTTTTAATATATGGCTTTCCTTATCACAGAGGAACTTGACTCATTCAAACTAGGTAACAGATCATACCTTCGTGGTAATTCAGAGGAAGTAATTCAAAGCATGTGCCCCTGATATTTCAGGTGGGATGGAAGCCAACACACATGGTACTTCCTTTAATATTTTCACACAATGCTGTACCAAGCCCCTAGGATGTTGGTTTCACAAATCACAGGAAACAGCAAGAACATTGTGAAGGAAATAGGAATATCTCAGATGGGGAAGAAATTAGGATAGAAAGTGCATACTACAAGACCAAAGAATGTGGTCTCTAAAGTGGAGTACATAACCCAGGGCATATGAAAGACATACCCTGAGATGCATGAAAAAAAAAAAAAAACAAAAAAAACCCACTAAACCTTCTTTATATTTTATTTAAAATCTCTACCTCTTAAGATTTTATTTTTTGTATTTTTCTCATATGCATAATGTATTAGTTCAGTGGTAACGTATACAAATTATAAATATTCATATATTCAGAGAATACTCAAATGTTTTTACTAATGGGCTACGCGGTTTACAGAAAGTTTATAGTCTCTGTAAAGTGAGATAGAATATCTCTGCAGTGAATGATAAGGCACTTCTTACTCATGTTGTTTGCAATCTGTTGACTACTAAAAGTCTTGGTTGCTATTGTTCTTATCTTAGAAATGATTGGATGGTGCAGAATGTAGAAATTGGGCAAATTAGAGATCACAGAGTCTGATTTTTGATTCTCAAAAATTAGGAACTAAAATCTTCTAGGCAACTTAGTAGGAAATGTGACTGTTGAGATTTGGGCTCTTTGAATAATTGGAAGGTGGTCATATGTAAGAGAAATCAGATGTGTTCCCTGTTATTTCTTTCATAGGAGGTCCCAGGAAAGACCAGTAGAAATTAGGTAAATTTTGACTTGGCCTACGGAAGAACTTGCTAATGGTTAGAGCGGTTAAAATGGAAGTGGGCTGCTTCATCAGGTAGAGAGTTTCTCATCACAGGATGGGCAACAGTAGAAGATGGAAAAGAGTTTATCTAGGGTTTTCTAGGGGAAGTAAAGTATGAGTTACATGCCTCTTTTATGACTGTTCGTTCATTGATTTATTTACCTTTAACATTCTGAAATGTAACATACTTAGGGAAAAGTTCACAGGTCAATGTACAGTTTAACAAATAATAAAGTGAACACCCAAGTAGGCACCACACAAGCCAAGAACTAAGACACGACAAGCACTCTAGAACCCCAGCCAGCTCCTTCCTTCCCTTTGCCAGTCCCCTCTCTCAGAAAACAACCTCCCTCTCCCCAGATAAGTGAGATAATAGCAAGGAAAGACTATGGCGATGGTTTGTCAATATACAAAGATATATTTATTAAGGCAGAATTTAGGGTATTAAGAGAAATGCCAATTTAAATATCTTTTTGATGTGTAAAATTATTTTCCAAAGACAATGTACATTTTACTGCTTTTTAAAAATTTCTATTTTTAATTGACACATAATAATTATACATATTTATGGGGTGCAATGTGATGTTTTGATATGTGAGCAAATCAGGGTGGTTAGTAAATTCATTACCTGAAGCCTTACTTCTTTGCGGTGAGAACCTTCAGAATCCTTTCTTCTAGCTATTGTAAAGCATACGTTATTGTTAACTGTAGTCAACCTACTGTGCGATAGACCATCGGGACTCATTCTTCCTAGCTGTGACTTTGTACCCATTGACCATCCTCTCCCCATCTCCCTCTTCCTTCTCTACCCTCCTCAGCCTCTGGTAAACTCTTTTCTGCTACTTCCATGAGATCAACTTCTTTAGCTCCCACATGTGAGTGAGAACATGTAGTATTTGTCCTTCTCTGCCTGGCTTATTTCACTTAACATTCTCCATGTTGTCACAATGACAGGATTTCATTCTTTTTTATGGCTCAATAATATTCCATTGTATGTATGCTACATTTTCTTTTTCTTTTTTTTTCTCTTTTGATAACTGGTCCTAATGTACCACATTTTCTTTATCCATTCATCTGTTGATGGATGCTTAGATTGATTTCATATCTTGGCTATTGTGATAGTGCTGAAGTAAACATGGGAATGTAGATGTCCCTTTGACAACTGATTTCATTTCCTTTGGATATATACCCAGTAGTGGATTGCTGGATCATACAATAGTTCTATTTTTAACTTTTTGAGGAATGTCCATACTGTTTTCTATAACAGCTGTACCACTTGACATTTTTGCCAACAGTGTGTAAGGGTTCCCCTTTCTCCACATCCTTACCAGTACTTATCTTTTGTCTTTCTGACAATAGCCATTCTAACTGGAATAAGGTGATATCTCATTGTGATTTTGATTTGCATTGCTCTGATGATTAGTGAGGTTGAGTATTTTTTCATATACCTGTTGGCCATTTACATGTCTTCTTTTGAAAAACTTACTGCTTTTAAGTAGTGTACATTTTGAGTTATAGCAGTTGGTACCCTGTAGGCCTTAAAAGGCTATGAACTTTGTTAAGATGATTAATTTGGAAGTAGGAATTAGGAAAGTCTTTTTCTCTGCATATCCTCTCTAAATATGGCAAGGAACTGCAACTTTAACAAATATAAACCTCAAAAAGTGTCTATGAGATGTATACATTTCAGTAAATCAATTAATTAATTGGGCATTTACTATGTGCTACGTGCTTTTCTAGGCACTGGGAGTATGGCAGTGAGCACATAAAATGACATCCCTGTTCTTATGGAATACACAGCACAAATACATACATAACGTTCAGACGTTAAAGGCTACAAGAAACGTAAATTACAGAGAGGGGCAGGGGCAGTGCTATTTTAGATGCCGTGGTGAGTAAAAGTCTCTGGTGGCATTTAAGCAGGGACCTGAGGATGTGAGGGAGTCTGCCCTGAAGCTAGCTGGGGGAGGAGAGGCAAGGGAATGTCCCAAGGCAGGAAGCACAGCCTTTGCGAAAGCCCTGCGGGTGCTTGAGCAACAGCTAGGAGGCCAAGGCAGCTGGAACAGCCTGAGCTGGGAGGACTGATAGGAGGAGGCCTCACATCACTCATGCCTTTTAGGCCTTGAGGAGGAAGGTTTCGATTGCCTCTGAATGGCATGGGAAATCATTGATGAATTTTGCTCTAACTTGTGTTTTAGAAGGATCACTTTGATCTCTGTGTAGAAAATAGACTGTAAAGAGGCAAGAGTGGAAGCAAAGAAACCAGTTAGGAGGCAGTTGCGGTCATTCAGCGAAGAGGTGACGGTGGCTTAGACAGTGTGATAGTGGTGGCGGGAAACGGTTAGATTCTGAATGCATTTTGAAGGCTGAACTGACGGCATTTGCTGACGGATTGTATGTGGGGTGTGAGGAGACGAGAAACATTCAGGATTTGGAACCCCAACGTCTGTTGAGGTGGAAAGACTTGGAAGAACAGGCTGGGAAGGAAGGTGAAATTCAGGAATTCAGTTTGGACAGGTTAAGTCTGAGGTGCCAACTGCACATTCAAGTGAGAGGGCAGGAAGGTGACTGGGTACGAGGCTGGAGTTCAGAGGAGAAGCAGGAGATAGAAATTTAGGCATCGTAAGCATTGAGAAGGTGTTTAGGCCAGGTGCAGGATGAGGTCCTGAAAGGGAGTGAGTGTAGTTAAGGGAAGAGAAGCCATATATGAGCCTTAGGCACTTTTATATTTAGAGATTTGGAAGAAAAGTGGGAATCTAAGCAAAAGAAAATGTCTTAATCTCTTGCTGCCATTTTTTCACATCAAAGCAATCTATACACCTTCTTTTTCTTTTTTTCAAAGTATTGGTGTTAAGTTTAAGAACATCATCCTTAGAAAAGAATGAAAAAGCCATCTGCCATAATATGTTAATCTCAGTGTCTGGAAGGTTTCACGACTCAGGCTTGGGCTACGTCGAAGCACAATGAGCTGCCTTAAATGATGTTTCTTCTTGGCAGTAAGTTTAGCTTTGCCTCGTAGGTGGTACTTACGGGCCTGTCATCGCTTACAATTTATGATGGGCTCGCATGGCGATGGGCATCTTTTTCCCGGCTGTTCATTTCTGTTGTCGTTAGGATAATGGAAAGCTGCCTTGGATGTCACTTCAAAGTTTGGACTCTTTGAACTTGGTTTGTAAGCTTAGGGATCAGGAATTAATACCTTTATAGATCTACGAGGAAAGTCTTGATGGGTTGAGAAGATTTAACTGAGTACTCGAGGTCATTTTGCTTCTGATGGTGCACCAGACCCCTGAATTGGGATGAGAGGAGTCTTCTCTGTGGGGGGAACAGTTTTAGATTCCATTAGGAGATTCATTCCAGGACCCATTTACTGTAGATTGAGGTCTTCTGTACATACACAAAATAAGGGTATTACTTGTCAAATTCTTATTTGAGGAAATGAGTAATTTCTAACTAAATTTGCCTTTCAGATTCTGTCGAGTGTAATTTGTTTTTAAACCTTTATTTTAAGCAGCTGGCCAATCCCAGCACTCATCCTCCCAGAGGTGACGGTGTTTTTTGTTTTTTTGGTTTTTTTTGGTACATTCATAATAAAAACAAAGAATTTTAGAATTTCGAAGGGAGGATAAAGGTAATCTGGCCCAACACCATCACTTAACCAAGGAAGAGATAGGCTTCGGTCATTTTCTCCAGACTAGGGTTAGCTATTAGCAGAATGTGGACTAGAATGCAGGTGTTCTGAAGTCAGGGGACTTTTTTTAATGGCTAAACATTCCTTGATCATTTTTACTATGAAATATTTGATATATACAGAAGAATATGTGTGAGTTATGAAGCCTCATAATAAACTCCCATGGGCCCACCACCCAACTTATGACCTAGACCATTACCAACACTGCTGCAGAACCTGTGTAGCCCGCCCTGGTCCCGTCCTCCTGACTCCTCCACACATGTAACCACTCTCCAAAGATTACCCACATTGATGAATATGTTTATATTTATTCTTTTTTCATTGCTGTATAATCACTATATATATTTTATTATGCAGTATACCATATCTGCCCAATTTTTTATTATGAAGGTTTTCAAACATACACAAAAGCAGAATTGTTCCATGAACACCCATGTACCATCCACTTAGATTCAATAATTATTAACATTTTGCCATATTTGTGTTATTGTTTTTCTGAGCACTCGAATGTAAGTTGCAAGTATCATGACCCTTCATTCCTATCGTTAGGTCTAGAGCCGGGAGGGAGACACACGAAGCCTGAGGTGTAGCAAAATGCTGTTTATTTTGAGCATCTGGGTGCAGATGGGTGGAGGCCAAAAGAGCATCCACCACGAGGGAGGGGAAAGCCCTGGGTTTTATAGAGGGTTTTTCTGGAGGGAGTGAGCAACACCTGCAGAGGTAGGGGAAGGGGATAGCTTCATCCTTATCAGGGCGAATAGGAGCACTGGCATCACTGCAGCTGTCTGTGGTCCTGCAGCTGTCTGTGGTTGAAGTTAGATTACAACCTCGGGCTCTCCAGACTCCTGAGGCTTTTGTTTCAGGCTTTATGATACTTTTCAGGTTCACACCCAGAACAAACCTAACACTATATACTTCAGCCTGCATCTCTTTATAATGACGTTCTCCTGCCCAAGTATCACTGTTACACCTAAGAAAATTAATAAGATGTCCATGATAATATCTATTCTATAGCCCATAACCAAATTTTCCCAACCGCCTCAGGAATGCCTTTTATAGATCTGTTTGTTTCTAATCAGAATCCAATCAAGGTTCCTATTAATGAGTTTGGTTGTTCTTTCTCTAAATTACTCCCATCTTTGTTTCCCATGCCACTGCCTTTTTAAAGAATTTAGGCCACCAGCTGTCTTAGAGAATGCACCACATTCTGGATTTGTCTGAGTGTCCCCTCATGATATCATTTAACTTGTTCTTTTATCACCTGAATTTTCTGTCTCCTAGGGGTCAGGTTTAGAGGTGTGATTAGATTCAGGCTGAACAGTCTGGGCAAGGCCACTCCAAGGAGGTAGTGCCGTGTATTTATGTTGCATCACGTCAGGCGGCGTGTGCTAACCAGCTCGCCTATTAATGATACCAGCTTTGGTTGCTTGGTTAAAGTGGTGCCTCCCACATCTTTCCATTATAAAGGTACATTTTCCTCTTTGAGATTCGTAGCCCACTCACTTTTGAATAACCTCAAAGTCGGTGGATTCATATGTAATTTTCAAGTATCCTGTTGGTTCCTGGAAATGGCCGACATTCATGTACAGCCATGTCTGGGGAATAAGACTTATGATCTAGCTGGAAATGCTGTTTTTGGTTTAAGAACAAGTGAACAAGATTAGACTGATCTTTCTTGTGTGACTCAAAGGGTATTTCTAAAAGAATAATTACACAAATATTTTTAGTAAACAAAAAGATGGCCATTGTTACTTCAGCAATATTCATTTGTATAAATTTATTATGTTTATTAAAAAATAAGCTCTTGCTTTATATGAGCTGTTTATTAAGTATACCTATAAAGTTGTACTTTATCTATATTGGCAAAAGCTCATTACCTAAATGCATGGGAAAATGAGTACCTTTAGAAAGTGAAACAACACTGCCTAAAGATAGTTTCCCTCTCTCCTGATGGCCACATGAATAATGTATCTTGTTGGAACAGAATTTAGGAAAAATGAATTATACTCTGTATACGAGTTTTCCAATTCCAAAGTCCACCCAACATTCAGAAATGTCTGTTTGAGTTACCCGCACTCACTCATTCAGGGCGGCAGTCTTTTCACATGTGTCAGTTATTCAGTGTTTTCACAAATTCCCCTTTACCCAAAATTACCTTTCTTCTCTGTTATGTCACTAAACTACATGCTTCAACGAAAGTGCAGTTTTTAGTATCAGAAGAATAAATCCCTTCAGAACTCAAACTACACAAGGAAAGAACTAATGAAAAGAGTACTTTGGTAAACATCATTCCAGAATCTCAGAATCACTTGTTCATGAGCCACACATTCTATTTATGAAAAATTAAGCCCATTCTTTTGTGAAGGAGTCAGACTTCGAGCTCATCCTTGACTTGTTAGCCTAATAACATAACATTAGAGAACTGTCATTATTTAGTGAGGGCACAAAATCCATGTGTAGTGCGCCCGTGATAACTTTGAGCTCCAAAAAATATGTACTGTATCCTTAACTGTCATGCTTTAAACGTAGAAAGTTTAAAGTATCCCGTTCTTAGCCTCTGTTTTCTTGTGGTTTAGGGGCATTACAGTGGTATTTAAAAGATAAGCCTCTTTTTTTTTCTTAAGTTAATTTATTTTGAAGTATAACATTCATACAAAAGGTACACAACAAATCCTAAGTATATAAACTGAGTAAATTTTCACAGAGTGAATACACAAGTATAACCATCACCGAGATCAAGAAATAGACCATTCCCAGCATGGCAGAAGCCCTCCTCATTCATCCTGCCCCCTAGCCATCCTCTCCTCCCTCTGTCCCCAGTAACTATTATCCTGTCTTCTAACACCGTAGGTTCGTTTTGATCCCCCACCCATATACCACACCTGCCTCCCAACATCCTTTTACGTGTGTGTGGTAAATCCCCATATAATTAGTGAGTCTAAAGAAGTTACTAATTCATCCAGGGGAATCTTTAACAAAAACCATGACCAAAAATGTGCCTTGGGCCAAAATTGAGAACAAGAGAAAAACAAAGAGGGGAGCAGCAAACCCATTTTGTTGGTAAAAGATTTCATTTACAGACATCCTCTTCTTGGCACAGTATTCTGGGGACATGGCATGGTGGAGTGCCACAGCTAGGACGCTGTAGTGAGACTAACAAAGAATTGTAGCATGTAAGCGATCACCAAGAATTCTGTTTATGAAGAGGGTACGGTAACACTTCTCTTATGTAAAAGGCACTTCTCCAACATCTCACCTTCCCAAAACCCTTCCATGAGCCAAGAAGACTATGCAGTCTTTAGAGACAGTTCTAAGGGGTGTGGTTTTCTGGTTTCTAGCCCCTTGGAGGAGGGTGGGGCTGCTGGTTCCCTGACCAAAGCAGAAGTGACAGCTGACAAGCCTGATAGAAGGGTGTGGTGTTGAAAAGCTGTAAAAATCAGAACCAAGAACTCAGAAAGCTTTGTGGCCTGGGAACAAGCAGTCCTACAGACCTTCAAAGCCCCCGAGGACACCAGTGTGCATTAAGTAATGCTCACGGTGATGTTGCTGAGTAATTTTGAAAAGTGTAAATTACGTTCAGTGCACTTCCTGCAATGAGAACTGCCATCCAAAAGCGATTAGGGGCCTGGTTCTGGAGTCTGCTTGGATCAGCCTTGCCTTTGGCCTTGGGCAATTTACTTAACCTTATCTGTAAAAGGGGAACAACAGTATTCCTTCTGCAGAGCATTGTTGTGAGGATTAGATGAAAGTCTGGGTGGCATTCCTTATAAGCTCTGGGGAGATGTTAGCTGTTAATAATTTTTGACACAATGACAGATAATTAGGTGGAACTTAGAAGCAATTAATCATATGAATTAAGTGGGCAGAGCCAGCCAAGGAGAAAAGCAAAAGACCAAGAAGAGGAGCATGTAATGGTTGACTCTGTCTTGAGTCTAACCTGGGTCTAACACTTAAGTGTAACCATACATGGTGTGGGGCCACATCCTCTCCTGTTCTGTTCCTCTCGTCATCGGGGTCCAGTACCAGACGGGGGGCAAAGCTGAAATAAATGATGAGTTGTCTCCATTTCTCTCTTGCCTTGGGGGTTATTTAGATGGCTGATTTACGAAGAACCTGGATTTCAGGGTATCCCTTTCATCCTGGAACCTGGTGAATACCCTGACTTATCCTTCTGGGATACCGAAGCAGCGTACATCGGATCCATGCGGCCTCTGAAAATGGTAAAAATGAAATCAAGCAAAGTGATTCTCTGTCAGCTTGACATTCACAGGGTGTGACTTTGAAACAATAAAGCTGACCTTTTCAAAACAAATATGTAGTAAACGGGACCAATTGCTTGATAGAAATAATAGAAACAATAATGTGCTAGGTGGTACAGATAAAAAAGTAGATAAGATTATATTCTTTGCCTTCAAGGCAGCCTCAGCCTTGCAGAGCTGCAGATGTGTGCACAAAGCTTCGGCCCAGTGTAGGTTTAACAAGTGAAGAGAGTGAAGAATTAAACATCAGTGGAAAAACAGGAGGAAGGATAAATGACATTCCAACTCATGGGTAATGTGACAGAGAAGGGGGACAATAGGAGAGCTTCATGATAAATCAAGTTGGGTTTTTAAAAAATGAGCAGGATTATTTTAGATGGAGCTGTCAGAGAATGTGTTGTGTGAGTCAGGGTGCAAAGCTGGGAAGGGGCAGGGCATGATGAGGACCAGCTCGGCTGCAGGGA